TTTTTTTTTTTTTAATTATTTGTTTGAGTTTTGTTTGAAGTCTAAGTTTTAATTGTAGGAAAGTCATGTGGATGGCATGTGACTTTTAATTAAGAGTAGAATTTGTAACTTATTAGAAGTTCAAATTAGAATTGATTTAGCATTCTTGGCTATCATTAGTATATATAGTTATTCTTCTTAGATTTTAAGAGTAGTTTTTGTTATGAGATTTTAGTTTGAGAATAAATTTGAGGTTGAAAACCTAAGTTTTCTTGGTTCCATCTTTAATTTTACGAAGTTCTTAATTTTTATTTGTTCTACCCTTACGTTTCCTGCATTGAGGCTTCTAGGAAAATAAAATAGGAAAAATTAAATAATAGTGAATACTAAGAAAACTCACAAGCAACAAAACAAGCTAGACACCCTTTTCTGTAGCCTCCCCAATGGCCTTTAGAGCATGTGTAATGTTCTCCTCTTTATCCGGCATCACCAATAATTGACAAATCCCAATCTTGAATTGCAACAAAAACAAAAGCAAGAAAAATCCAAAACTCAAAATCTCAACTTGTAACAAAATTATACAATAGAATGAGAAAAAAAACTAAAAAGAATTAGGCAGAATACCCAAATTCACCCTCAAAGTATAATAGCAGGGATGGATCTACTCCCAAACAAAAAACGAGAATAAATCCACCCATGAAGTTTTCAATTTGGACATATCACCTCAAATTTAACATGTGACGTCATTTGACGTCAACAATTCGTTAATTTGATGTCATTTGACATCAGCAATATGTTAGTAGCAACATAACAAATTGACGGATTGCTGACGTCAGATGATGTCACATGTTAAATTTGAAATTATTTGTCCAAGTCGAAAACTTTGTGAATGGATTTGTCTTCATTTTTTGTTCGGGGGTAGATCCGTCCCTGCTACTATACTTTGGGGGTGGATTTGGGTATTTTGCTAAAGAATTACATAGTAACAAGTGAAATAGGCAAGGGAATGGCAGGTGTGGCCTTGCCTTGCTTTGGCTTGAAAGACAAAGAGCAAAGAAGAACATGAAGAAAACTAAGAAATCGTAGGCGGAATAGGTAAGGGAATGGTAGGCAAGGCCTTGCCTTGCTCCAACTTGAAAGACAGAAAACAGAGAAGATGGAATGCAGATTGATGAACAAGAAGAAAACTAAGAAATCAACATGGAAATTAATGGATTTAATCCTAATTATCTTATATCCTATGTTTAGCAAAGTTGAAATCCAACACATCAATGCAAATGAAACAAAAGTAATGCTTTGTAGAAATCGAAAAGGGAAGAAAAGAAGTAGTAATAAACCCACAATTTCAAGTTTGAGAAAAAAGAGCTTACCCATTGAAGATTAGAGGCTTCACCACTGGACTTAGGATGAGGAGGATGAGGGTGTTGGAAAAGTGAGGCTAAAAATCTAGATCTATGGCCAAAGGAGTAATCGGTAGATGGGGAAGTTGGGTAGATGAAAAAATTAAGAATTTTGGTTATAACTGGTAATGTATATATATTGGTCTAACTATAAATTTGTTAAAATATGAGAGTAAAAAAGATATAATAGGTAAATTTCATTAAATGGGGCAAAAGCACAAGCAAAAGCACCAAACTTGTGCTTCCTTCTATTTCAAAAAACTAGAAGTAAGGATTAGCTTTTCAACAGCTAAAGCAACTCCTAAAATTTTAAGTGTTTGGTGTAGCTTGCACTTTTAAACTTAAAAAGCCCTTCTAAGAATTTGTACCAAACATGCACTTAGTTTGCTAAAAGGCCTTCCACTTCCCCTTATTTCCTTCAAACTAAATATGTTATAAGTGCGCTTAAAGCAAATTGGTTGTAATGTAATTTTAATGAAATCTATTTTTCTCATATTGAACTGTAGAAAATTTCAAGGAATTCTTGTTGCGTTGCATAAAATTGCAATAGTTGAAATGTATCCTAATGCTACAAACAAGTTTAGTTGGGAAAAAGTTTTCAATACAACAGCATGCCATGTGCGTAATGTCTTGTCTTCTAATATCATCACAACTCTGATAAAACTAATGTTCTACAACTTCGATTATTTTTTATAGATAAACATAGCCTTGTTAAATTTTTATTCTGCTAATAAATTACAATTTAGGTTTTTTTTTTTAATTTACTTTTTTTCATCAATTCAAACCTTCTCTCTACCTTTAGGAAGTCTCTCAACAAAGCTAGCTTCATGTTGTTGTCTTCGCACCACTGCCACCATCTCCACTTCCAACGTTGCTACAACTTTGCCCTAAACGAGGCAATTGCTAGCCCTTGCTTCTTGGGCTTTGTGCTCCACAGTGATGCAAAGGTTGTCATGTTCTTCTCATGGTGTTGTGAAGAAGGTCAAAAAGTAATTGTCCGAAAATTGACCCCCATTAATGTACCCAATTTGTAAGATTCTTTCTTGCTCATCACCAACATAGCTAATCTTCAAAACTCAAATTCAAGCTGTTGGGGAATAGGCCCAATACAACAAGTAGGCCAAAAGGCCATATAAAACCCAAAAGTGTAGGCACAATAATCATGATGCATCCACATGAACCCAAAAGTGTAGGCACAATAATCATGATGCATCCACATGAACAATGGTAGGTGTATCAATAGAATAGCAACACGTGACAATACTATCATATATGGAGTTTATAAATACCCCAATTACCTCAACACAAAATAACAACTCTATCAAGCTTCTCTTTCTATAATA